TGATCTAATCAACTTCTATAGACCACTCTACCCAACAATATGTATTTGGAAGGTCTTCAAGTTCACTGATGTTTTATTTGCAGGATTTTAATCTGATATTAAGTCCATCTGAATTTTTTGTTTCAGATCATTTATTTTGTATCTCTAAAAGTTTCATCTGCTTCTTTTTATTTCCATTTAACTCATTATGCTTATATTTTCCTTTAAGTCCTTAAGCAAGTTTTGAAAGCTATTTAGAACTCATTATAGGCTAATTCTATCATCTTTGTATTTCTGGGTCTGTTTGTATTAATTGATTTTTTTTTCCTCCTAGTTATAGGTCACAGTTTGCTACATTTTTGTCTTACTATTAATTTAGGAATAGATGCTAGACAATATGAATGCTACGCTATTGAGTTTGAATTTTGCTCAGAAATTACTGCCAGTCATAAAGCTGGAGTAATTGTCTAGATAACCTCATTTGTTTCCTTTTGCCAAGAGATCATAATCATACACTGTTGCATCAAACTGTCTAAAAATAATTTTCCACATATTCTGTTCAGTTTTCTAATTTTTCACAGTGGAAGGCCAAGTTTTTTGTATCCATTATATCTTCGTGACCACTTAATTTATATGTTTAATTTTGTTTCCAAAATAAAATTTTTGTCTCAGAACATTTTTTCCTATTTATTTAGTTTATTTATAAGTAATACATGAATACCCAATGCTTAATATAAAATTTTTAACCATACAGAAAAATACAGAGAAAAACTTTTAAGATACCATTTCAGCCTTCCTTACCCTCTAATTCTCAGAATCTAAACACTGTTAACAGTTTGTTATCTATGATTTCAGATAGTGTGTCTCTCTGCATATATACATAAAAATTTCACACTAAATGTATTACATATTTTCTATGACCTGTTTTTTAACCTTAATTTGTCTCAGAGTTTTTTTTTTTTGTCATTACATATAAAATTTTTCACTTTTAAACTGCTACTTAATATTCCATCATGTGTATATGCCTTAATTTATTTAACTAGATTAGTTACAAATACATACAAGGTATTTTCAGGGTTATTTTTTCCTATTAGAAATAATGCTTTAATGAACACCTTTATACATAACCCTGTACATAAAATACTTTTGTGCACAAATTGTGTACACAAGAGATTTCTACAAGGTCAACAGATAAAGTGACATGCATGTGAGGCTATTATAAACTGAATTGTTTTTGTAGTTTTCAATTACAATTGCTTGTTGCTATTATATAAAAAGACAATTGATTTTTGTGTATTGGGTATTGTGTCCTACAGCCTTGCTAAATTCATTTATTTCTAGGTCATTTTTGTAGGTAGCTTAGTTTTCTATGCACACAATCATGTTGTCAGTGAATAAAGTCAATTTTGCTTCTTCCTTTGCAATTTTTACAACTTTAATTTGTCTTGCAACATTTAAAACCAGTAAAGAAAGTGTGGAATGTTCAATTAAGGGTTTGAGACAATTTCTATACTAAGAGTTAAGCCCCTCTCTCACATGATACATGCACATAAACTCAATTGCACAGTGAAGAAAAATGTAATAAAACTTTTTAAAAACATTGTTAGTAAATAAAGAAAATTTTCTTATAACCATGGGTTGAGAAAGATCATTCCAAGAGAGGTAAAATCCCCAAAGTCAAAAAAAAAGATTGACAACTTTGGCTCCATAAAACTATAAAAACTGAAAGATACTATGGCAAGCAGTACTATAAACTTTAAACATGTGGCACTGTCTTTGGGACTGGGTAATGGGAGAGACTGTGGGGAGTTCTAAGGTCACTGAGGAGACTGGCCTCTAGAATAACTGTTATTATCACATAGGCTGGAAGAGTGGGGAGGAAATTGATATTGCAAGCTGGATAAAGAATGACCTGCATTACGTATTAGCGGGACAATTAGCAAGACTTCTGAAGGTGCAAAATGTATTAATGAAATTTTGAACTTGCACAAGGAGATATTTAGGAAGCAAACTGCAAGTGCCTACTAGATTCCTTTAACTGCATAGAATTAGAGGTATCCCATAAATCTCAGTAACAGTGTTCATCTAGATTTAACTACAAATACTACACGTATAATTGTTCATTATTGTTTCTATTATTTCTTTTGCTCCTCTTCCCCTATCTTTAGATCTTTGTTCTAATTTAATTCTCATTTGATTTCAGAGAGTGCCTTCTTGAATACATTTCCTCAGATAGAGTATATGGATGACATAACTCTGAGTCTTTATATATCTGAAAATGTCTTTCTTTTATCAAAAAAAAAATGAGTAAGATCTTTGCTGGGTTTAGGTTTTTTAGATATTGCCTTGAATAATCAGTTATTATTGTCCTTTTCTCTTCTAGGTCCCTGTGTCGCACATGAGCCATTCAATGCTTCTCTCTTCCTTGGCAAATAACTTTATCTTTTCTGTCTTCGATTAGGAGCTTGTAAAATGTTTTTCTGTATCCTTGAAATTTTGCCAGATAATATCTAAGAAGTTGTCTTAAAATAATCCTGTCTGGTACCCAGAGTCCTTTCCATTCAAAGCCATACTCTTTCTTCATTCAGTTTAGGAATGTTTTCTTTGGTTATTTCTTTATTATTAATTTATCTTTTTCTCACTCCCACTCCCTAATTCTGCAGTGACTGCCATTCACATACTAAATCCCCTGGATATGTCCTCCATGTTGCTTTCCTAAAGCATTTACCTTTCAGTAGTGACTACTCTATTTTTAAATTCATTTATTATACTTTTAACTGAAAATTTTTTTTAAAAATTGGTTACAGTAACTTTTTCATTTAATTTTATTTCTGTAAAAGTTCTCATTACATTTTTAATAAAGTTTACACCTGTGTAGACCATTAATTCTAACTCTACAGTAGCCATCTGTTCTGGTTTCTTGGCCTAATATCCTTCCATCAAACTAACATTACTTTGAATGGCTTGTGAATTTTCTCTGTATAAATCTCATTTTCCTTCCCTCATGCAAAGAGGGAATAAATATATAGTTTGTAAAAATGTTTAAGAATTAAATGATAGACCCATACGTAGTTCTTTTTCTACAGTCTCCCCCAGCCTTTTTTTTTTTCTTTGCAAAATGGGGCCTCACAGGAATTCTTGTGAGAAATGTAGATTCTCTCACCGTAAGCGAGACCCACTGAATCAGAATCTGTATCCTAACAACATCCTTAAGTGATTCTAATGTACATTACAGTTTACAAAGAGCTGATCTAGCCAATAACACATGGGAAATGACAATAATTTCTTAAAGAAACCATCTGTTTACTTTTTTCATATATTAATATTTTATATGGTTTTTGTCCCCAAAGTTATCAATACCCTGTTGTTTTAATTAGGCAAACTTTGGAATTTTGATTCCTTCATGATTTTTAGAGACTTTCCTTTATATTGAAAATATTAATAATAATAATAACAATAAATGAAATGTAAGGAATGCCAGCCTATTCTCATCACAGACTTTTCATAGCTCTAGTCTCTTCTCCAAGTAACCTCCAATTTGGGGAAAATGTACCCATGCCCAAAGCCAGGAGATGGGGACAAAAGTTGACACTGAAATCTACAGGAAAAAAAAATCATGTCTATTTGCATTTCTACCGCATTTCACCAGCCTTTTTCTAGAACAGTGTTCTTGAGCTCTAAAAATAGAGATTAATACCTTAACTTGCAACATTGTGATAACCAAATGAAGTATTATATGAAAAAGTTCCTAGTACAATTCCCAGCATATAATCAGTGCTCAAGACATGTTGGTTGTTTCACTTCCTGTTCATCCTTACTCTACCGTAATTCCTTTTTAAACGCCTATATTCCACATTTGGCTGTGAACACAGGAGGGATGCAGCTTACTTCTTCATATAGGCATGTCATGAACATAGGACACATCCTCTAAATGAATGGTCACTAAGTGGGTAAGGTATTTATCTATAATTATAGTAATATAGAGATAATAATTTCTATCTTTAGGAATTTTTAGTAGTTTACTTAAACCAGGACTAATGATTGATTCAAAGACTCATCTGTGTAATTATTAGACAAAGAATTACTGTGCATCTATCATGAATGAGGAACTATGACAGACACTAGAGACCTAAATGATAAGCAAAAAACAGGCACTCCCCATTTCAGAGGCACGATAGAGATCTCCAAACAGAATGTAAAATTGAATTATGATTAAGTACTGTAAGAGATACGCAGTGCTCTCAGAATGTGGTAGGGGAGATAAATGTTAGACTAAGAACAGCTCAGCAAAATCCTGTCTTATCGACATATTTTCCCTTGGTCAGCCATCTCACTACGGTCTACCATTATCTAATTGACTCTTACTGTTTCTCTTAAATTGGAAAATCCCCTGAGGCATCGCTTCCAGAAAGCCATGGTCAAAACAAAACTCTTCCCCGAGGGAGAAGTTTGGGTGTAGACAGATGGATAAGGCTACTAGTATCTTCCTTATTCCTCTTCTATTAGTTAACATATTGATACTGATTATCTCATCAGAATAGTTTAGACACTGTCACTTTGGGAAGACAAATGAGTCGTTAGAACAGTTGAGTCAGTATTTCTGAAATAATGGAGGCTCAAATCCCCAGGGAGATGGGAGACCCACTAAGCGCATCCAGCTAAGGAGCCTGGGTGATTCGTCAGGCTATTAAAACTTCAACAAGGAGGACACTGGTTTCATCAAACTGTGGAGTGATGATGTCAAAGAAAAACACTTTATTCTACAATTTTATCTATAGTGGGCTGTTTCTTAAATCCTCTCGAACTGGTAACTATGTCTCGGCCCCTCTCCCATCTATAATCCCCCAGTATGGTAACACTACTTTTTTTAAACTTGTGAGTAAGTTTCAGGCCGACAAACGAAGGGGAAAAGTGGGTGGTATTCACTGATTCAGGAACTTTGTTAACAGGAAACTACTGCTGAGGAACACCTGGCTGGGGTGAAGACAGCCCTCTGCGCTGTTCCCCCGTTGACGCCTTACCTGTTCCTGAAGTAGTACTGCTGAGCTACGAACTTCGACCGAGCTTGCAGCCGAGCTAACGTGGCCATAGCCTCCCGGCATCTGCCAGAGCGCGGGTGTTACTATCGGTCTCCCCGGCAACCGGGCTAAACCATAATGCCAGTCCCGGGGGTTCAACTTCTCGTATACTCCACTTTTATTTCCCACCCCGTTTCAGTTTGCAGAAAACTAGCAGGAAAATTAAGGAATTTACGTAGGAAAAAGTCCCTGGGATTTGCCTCTCTCTTTTCTGTGAGTAGAAGGAGGAGATTCCAGGCGAGGAAGACCGTGGGGGGAGAAGAGGGAATGGTTGCTCCCGACATCCGGTTTCCGCCTCCCGTCTGCTTCCGGAAGCTCAGCTCAAAATGCTGAACTGCTTCTGGAAGTCGCTGGTACTGTGGTAGTTGGAGTCTGTTCTCGGGCCGGAGCCTCGAGGTCAGGCTCCTGGGTGTCGTTAATGTTCGGGGCCGCCGGGCGCCAACCGATCGGAGCTCCAGCCGCCGGGAACAGCTGGTGAGGCTGGCGGCCCTGGGGATGGGAGATCAGGAAAGGGTGTGATGGCCGGAGGCCGCTGGACCTGGAATGGAGGGGGAGGGAGTTGTGATGGATGATCTGAAGACACTTAGGCCTTGCTCTCACTCGTGCCTGGGATGGAAGCGATTTGAGGAAGGCGTTGAGGTGTCTGCTAAAGATTTGTGAAGGAATACAGTAAATGCTTTCTGATTGCCTAACACTCTGCGATATTGTGGGAGTAAAGGTCTCTCTCTAGTTCGAGAGCAATTCATTTCGTTGATTGGTGACAAGGCTAGGGACAAAAGACTTTCCCTTAATATAGGCCTTATTCCCTCACTTCCCTTTTTTAATTTACTAGATTATTCCACGTGTCTTGGAAGATCAAATCCCAGAATTCTAGAGTTTTGGAAGTTTAGTACTGGAAGAGGCCTCCTCACCCACCCACCCACCTTTTTTTTTTTTTTTTTTTGGAAGTGGGAGTGACCTACCTGTTTCTACTCCTTGAAACTTCCATTCTAGTTCAAATGAGATGTGTCTGAGTGTTCCCTAAGAACATATAAATGCCAGGATTTATTTGGGGTTTATGTCTGCAGTACCCCATCACAAGTGCCACTTTGGAATAATTGCTTTGACTTTTCAAAGTGCTTTCACAAATTAATGTGTTTTATCTTAATGACAGTGCTGTGACAGGAGATTATCACGAGCACAAGTGAGTTGTCCAAAATTGCCATGCACATTCTGGGGCTAGAAGCTGGGTTTTGGATTTCTATTTGAAAATGTGATGCCAGGCCTATTTTTCCCCAAGACCTTTTCCTCCAGGCATACACAGGACAAGCAGTGAAACAAGCACATTTCCCACTGACAGTGTCAAACAAGAAGCATTGAAAAACGGGCGAACTATGGCTGAAAAAATATATGTCCATTCTTAGATTCTGCAGTGAATGAGACCTTGAGGGATTTTAGTAGTCTGATCTCAAAGACGTTCTTTGCATCACCTATCACTAAAAGTGAAAAGAATATCTTGCCTAAACTGTTTTGAATGAGATTAGATTATTCTGTAGAACCTTTTATAATGGGGATAGATTTGGTGATACTTTTAAAATCTCACATTTTCCAGTGAGAAAGCAGGAAGTACTTTTTTAAATGAGCCATATTTTTTTAATGGTGTCCTATGGCATTAGCATAAAATAAAACCATTCTTACATGTTTAGTATTTTTAGTTTTGACAGTTGTATATACCATGTAATCACCATGCAAAACAAGATATAGGACATTTCCATTACCCCTGAATTCCCTCTTCAGTAATCTAGTAGGTACCTTTCTTAATATTTCGCCATTCAATCAATACCTTGTTAAGGGAGCGAGACAAAATGTGCTATATAGATTGGTCTGCTCTTGCTGTAGTGATACTGATGGGTAGGATAGATGACTATTTAATTAAAAAGTATGACTTCCTCTCTCTTTCACCTTCTACCCAAATTATAATTAGGTAACTTCTTATGATACAGAGAAACCGTCCTTCAATTCTCTTAAAGTGCTTATCTTATTTTCAATTATCAGCATAGAATTTATTCTTTCTTATGGCATCAGAGTATAACATAGTGCCTAGCGCTTAATCAGTGCTTCTGAATGAAATTCCTTTCCTTCATTGATCAGACATTTACCATACTATGAGTGTATGTTTTATCCCAGTTATGAAATCTCAGGGCCACCAGGGATGCTACTACTGAGTCATTACTTGGTGCCAGGTTTTATGGACATAAATCTCCTTTAGACCTTTTGAGATGGGTGCTATCGTTTTTTTGCATTTTAGAAATGGTGAAACAGGAACAAATATAGTTTAAGTAACTAGCCCAAATACCGTATTTGCAGCGTGATTCTGGTATATCTAAAAACAATTCTTTTTTTTTTTTTTTAAAGATTTTATTTATTTGACAGAGAGAAACACAGCGAGAGAGGGAACACAAGCAGGGGGAGAGGGAGAGGGAGAAGCAGGCTTCCCGCTGAGCAGGGAGCCCAGTGCGGGGCTCGATCCCATCATGACCTGAGCCAAAGGCAGACGCTTAACGACTGAGCCACCCAGGTGCTCCTATCTAAAAACAATTCTTAACCATCCTGGTATACGTCCTATTTGTCTGACTGCGGTACGCTATTTCAGGAATATCTAAATTGGAAAGAATATGCCGATTTTTTAACTCACCTAGAATTCCTGTTACATTGATGTCCCATCTTGACTTCAACTTTTTCTCCAATGTCGAGGTTAGATTTTCAGTTTTTAGGCACCAAATGGGTAAATAATAGATGATTTATCTCTAACAATTTGTTGAAAGTAGAACTGATATTTTATTTTGTAATTTACTCCTACAGAAGACAAGTTTTATACAATTAAATAATAAAAATCTTACGATTTTTGTGTATGTCAGGAAATGAATATATTTTTTGTGCAAGTTGTTCCTGTAAGTGGTTTATATTCTATTTTTACAAAACATAGCTGAGAGTGTCTGTCTCCTTTTCCTGCCTCATCATTCACATACAATTTTGAAATTAAGGGCCAAAAAGCATAAGTATTTTGGTAAATTGTAAACCTGCCTTTTAAAACTTGATTAATTTAATGGATAGATCATATTTATAATTTAGATACACTTTTATTTTTACTTTATTAGTGACTTATATTTAAAGTCAATTTCTGGTTTGTTTTTAAGATTCTAAAGGTTGAACTAAATAAATTTTATAATTAAGTCCTTGATGAAAGTACTGAATTATTATTGATAATATGAACTAAACTATTTATTTAAATTTATGTGGTTTGCTTTAAAAAGAAAACCTTAAGAATAAACTTTATTAATTCTGGATCTTTTTTTCTTTTTTCTGTAGTTTCATTCCTATTTAGTTACTATTTGGATCTTTAGGTCTGAAAAACTGCATAGTGGTTAATGTGCATTTTTTTAAATAAATGCCTTTTTTCTTTTTTTTTTTTTTGTCTTTTTATCTTGAGGTGAATGCAATACTATCAGGTATGTTTGAGTCAGGTTTCTGTCTCAACAATGAGGAATCAAAGCAATGGCCAGTGTGATTTTGGCCAAGGAACTCATTAATATTAGTATAGCTTCTTAGCATTTTTATGAATGTCAAGCTGGAAACTTTTAAACCATCTTTGATGATTTATCCTTTACCACCACATTTACTTAGCTAAAAAATTAAGAGTGCCTGACTTGTTAATGTGCCAGAAAATTTGAAATCTGGATTGTCTAAATTTTTAGTGAAGTCATACTTTCCTGTTATTCATTCATTCATTTAATCATTCATTGGTCTGTTCGTCCAACAGATCTTTTTTTAACATCTGTTCTGTGTCAAGCATTATGCTAGATACTTGTAATAAATATTAAGTTGTCTTCATTCTTATTCTAGAAATTCAGAATATATTTTATATTCAATAAATATTGAATAGTTACCATGTATGAGTAATGAATGAGACTCATCTGATACATACTAGAAACTTGCCTAGATGTGCTCTAATATATGCATGCTGACAAGAATTAGAATGAATTATTTTTTAGACGCTAAATTATTTTTGTTTGTTTTAGACTTCGTCTTTATTTCATTTAGGCAGCTTCTTATTCAGTAGTTTACATTTCGAAAGTGATTAAAGAAGTTTTGAATGACTCTTGAAGTCGTTAAGTTGAAATCAGAAGAATGTTTCTCAAATTTAAAAAAATAAATGAGCTTGCCTTATTAAATCACTATTTGGAAAGTAGAATTAATACTTTTTTCTAAAGCCATGTATGATTTTTTTTTTCCCCCAGATTGCTAGTTAAGGAGGAAAGAAAGCTTTCTGGGTGTTCCTGTGGTAACAAAATAGCAGTTGCCATTAGCACCTCCAGTTGAGTGCAAGTTAGGGGAACTTTGGGGCCCATTATAGGAAATGAGCTTTTCTCTTTGGTAGAGAACCTGAGACTGTTAACTTGGAAGGATGATTTTCTATAATTTATTTTTTTTATATTTGTATATTTGTATAGGACTAACTCAGATACACAGCATTAATTTTTTGTTTTTTAGTTGTTTTTTTAAGATTCTTGAAAATCTTTAAGGAGTGCACAAATTTCTTGAAATTGCATGCAAGATTTTTGCAAATGTCTGTTATTCCCCTTCTCCCCATGATTCAGAGTGGTTCAAGAACACAGAAAGGATAAGGTCTGTGCTTTTATTATTATAGCCTCAGGACTCATAGTGTGGTTCTACCTTAAAAGCAAAATGATTTGGTATTTCAGTGACCACTTTATTTGGTATAGAGGTTGTTGAAAGATGAAATAACTGCTCTCACACATAAGTATCCACTCTCATCCCACAGAATCCCTTCAAGGTAGAAATTACAGCATTTTTATGATGAATCAACAAAATCAGAAGATAAGTAATTTGTTCAAGGTTCTCTGGCTAATAGTCAAATTTAGCTTCCAGATTCATAGATTTGACTTAAAAGCTCATGTTCTCTACAGGTTCCTCCCAGCCTTTTCCCCCACCTAGAGAATTCTGTTCCATATGCATTGGCTAGTGTTAATGTAAAGTTATAATTATTTACATGTTTCATAATAAGATATGTTCCCCTACCTCCCTGCTACCTCTTTGAAAAAGAGAAAAAGTTAATTCTGATTAATGGTTTAATAGGTAGTTCAAGGAATTTCTAAACTAGCTTAAATGTTAACATTTAATGTTAGGGTTATTTTGTTTTTCCTAAGATGACCTTCCCCAAGATAAATAAAAGGATTTAATTCTGTTAATCATTCAATAGGTTACTAGGCTGAGATAAAGATTTACTTTGACAAATATATTACCACTAAAGAAGGAAATTTATAAATTGTCATGAGCAGCAGAAATTTTAATCAAACTTAAAATAATTCTCACAGATAATATTTTGTTGAATTAGTCATGAAATTTAGCCCTTGATGTGGCATCTTTAAGGCTCACTGTTTGCATGTTTAGTCACCCGTTGTCTTGATCTGTAC